GCGGGGGGGGGTGGGGGGGGGGGTTCAATGGCTAGTAGAGGTGGACGTCCATCAACTTGACTTTGCTCTCTCTCAGGATGTGCGGGCTGGCATTTTAATGATAGCTATATATTTATAATTCACGACATGCTGTCCAGGAACGAGCATAACGTCTGTCTTATACCCTATTACAGCAAGTTGTGATTTTGACCTGTCTTGCATGTAGCAAACATTAAAGGTTGAATATTCCATCTTTTCAGAGGCGTGTCTGAGTGCTTCGTTCCCTGTCTTTGTTCCTCCCAGTCCTGGGTCCTGCTGGTACTGAGGCTCCGGTGAGCCGCCTGTCTGCTGCTTTCCAGGCATTTTGGTCTATGAAATGTCTGCTAACCACAGCTCTCTGGCACCGGAGCTGCTTTCCCTCTTCCTCAGTTCTAAATCAGGGGTCCTAACAAACCTTCCAGGCACAAGCTATTACTAATCAAACGTTAATGAGGAGGGACACGCAGGCCTCAGTCTGACCGAGGGCTCCCAGCTGCTGCACTTCTGTAGATCACCAAAAATAACAATGCACATCCTGAAAGTGCACTGTGCTTGTCAATGTAGTCAGACAGAATAGCTCTTAAAGGTGATGGGGGACAGCCATTAAAGGGGATGGGGACATTGATGGAGACAGCCATTAAAAGGGATGGGGACATTGATGGAGACAGCTTTTAAAGGGGATGGGGACATTGATAGGGACAGACTTTAAAATTGATGGGCACATTGATGGGGACAGCCTTTAAAGGTGACGGGGACATTGATGGTGGACAGCCATTAAAGGGGATGGGAACAGAGGTTAAAGGTGATGGGGACATTGATGGGGACAGCAGTTAAAGGTGATGGGAACAGCCGTCAAAGGGGATGGGGACATTAATGAGGACAGCCATTAAAGGTGTTGGGGACAGCTGTGAAAGGTGATGGTGTCTCTCCATGTCATCATGGGATTTCCCCAAAAACATGTGAACTGCCTGTACAAATTGCCTGTAGGCGTGCATGTGTGAGTGACTGGTGTGTGTCTGCCCGACAGTGGGCTGGCACCCCATCCTCTTCCCTGTACTGCCTTGCCCCCATAGCTTCTGGTATAAGCTCTGGACCTCCTGCAACCCTCAGTATGATAAGTGGATACAGAAGATGGATGAATGGATCAGCTGTTAAAGGTGATGGGGAACAGCCATTAAAGGGGATGCGAGATTGATGGGGATAGCCATTAAAGTGGATGGGGGGCAGCCATTAAAGGGGATGGGAGATTGATGGGGATAGCCATTAAAGGTAATGGGAGATTGCTCTTTCTGGTAATAGGGCTCCTACACATCAGACTTTCAACAGCCCTGAGTAAACAACACATTCCAGAAAGACATCTAGATGTGGACAACTGTTACAGACAGGCCTGATTATCCTAAGTAACAATCCAATCTGATTGCTGTTATCCCCTTACCTTAGAAAACATTCCACCGATAACTATGTCTCTGTGAGATAATCCCAAACGGTAGTCATCATATGGATTTAATTCTGTTTTTGATATTTAACATATACAAAATAACGCCTGTTCCACAATTCGGAGAGAAATAATTCATTATTAGATTACCAATAAACAATTCAATTTACAATCTGACCAAGTCTCCCTTCGTCAATATCTAAGCACACAAAGTTACTGAAGTTGCGGAAGAAAACAGTGAATATTTCGAAGTCAAATTATCCTTCATCTATCTCAATGACTGGTATTTCCTATTTAACGATGCATCATGGGAAACCAGAACCAAACCAGAGATTCCAACAAATGCAATGGATTTTCTAAACGCTTGTCCTGATCAGGGTCATGTTGGATCTGAATCCAAAATGAGATTCAGAGATTTTAGCCTAACCGATAAATGTGTTGTGGATGGAAACCGGAGTACTCGGAGGGAGCGTGCCCAATACAGGAAAAACATACTCCACACACTCAGGGGATTTAAAGTCCATACCCCGGAGGTGTTACAAAGGCAGAGGGTGCGACCTGTGAGACACAAGCCTGACTTTGGCGAGACATGTGCAGTGACTCGACAGCTCAGCGGCAAACGTCTTACCAGATAACCATTAAGGTTTCAAACAAAATCGCGGATCATAAAGGAAAAACAGCTTAGGAATGGTTACATAGGCTCCATGCTAAGCCTAGTTCATCCAATGCCTATTTTGTAAGTGACAATATTTATGGAAAATGAATCGCACAACACACCCTGCAGATATTAAGATTCAAATCCCAGTATAAGATTACAACACCCACTCATCCCAATTTAGGGTGCCTGTACTGATGACCATATGTGTGTGTGTGTGGATTGTATTACGGTGCATCTACTGTACTGTACATCTGGATTGTATTTATATCCGTCTTTCATGTATACGTGGCCAATACTCGTTATATGTGACCCACCCAGCAATCTCTGAGGTAAGGGCCAATTACAGCCTAGTGCCCCCCCGGGGACGGGTTACTGTGGTTTGTGGCAAACGTGCACATTCCGCTGCTGGAAACCATGTACTTAAGCGCATGCAAAGAGACCTTGAAATGTAAAAGGGCGAAAACAAAGCAGGAGGAAAAACAGAACAGGGAGTTCTTGTTGCTGCGGAGAAAAGAACTGCGTAGGGTGGATTTACGACACGTCTCCAAAACGAGGCGCTTCAATCGTGGCAAATTAATTATTTGGCAACTAGGCGTTGTCCTCTGTGGTATATGCCGCCTGTCCCTCAAATCTGAATAGATCGCTGTCAATTGCCGATGTAAATCTTATCGTTTTATACGTGACGGTCTGGGGAAAAAGAAGAGTTTGCCTGCCAGCTGCCTCGGCTCGTGTGCTCTAGTCTCTCCCTGCGTGATCATCTTATTTTTCCGGGATACTGATCGCGTCCTCAGCGCAATCCGAAGCATCGCATTAAATGCTCGTTCGACGTGACTTACGAGCGCCTCTCGCTTTTGCCCATATGACTGTCTGGTATCTGGGCAATGTTGGCATGCAACCAGCTCCGGAGCGCTCGCACGCCGGGGGTTCCTGCCTTTAAATTTGGCTCTTACTCAAGTCAGGCTGAGGAGATCGTTGCAATACTCTGGCCACCTGCCACCAATATTAGCTAATATTACCACAGGACCAACTACTTAACACAGATACTTGTTTTCGTTTGTTTGTTTTCTGTAAAAATGGGGGGTATTCCATGAAAGTAGCTTAAAAAAGACAGACTCAACCTACCCCCATCTCTAAACTTAGCCTGACGTCGTTCCACGAACGCAGTTCAGTTTGGGTGAGGGTAAAACGCGGAATTATATGGCACTAGAAACTGAATATGAATTTTGTATATTTGAATCTGCAGTTATCCGCATTACGAAACTGAATCTGAATTTAATAGTTTGAATCTGAATTCCAGTAACTCGAAATAACATTTATCCTACCTCGAAAAATTCAGTTCACAAACTCAATTTCAATCTAGTGTGACACACATCCGGGTCCTTGAGAAAAAGTAATCGACCGCAGATTTACAACGCAACTCATTTCCACGTTTACTGCAGTTCTGCAGGTCGGGGTAAAGAGGAGGCGTGTGCCGGGATGTCAGAAAAACAAATACTGGATTCGCAGGTTTATCATTACCTTATGATACATATGAGAATAAGCTTTATATACACAAGCGATAGCATAAACATTAACCATACGTCTGGTTAGTATATGGTAGTATATGTAGTTAAATGAAAGATTTCTGGCACTGCTAATTTATGTTAGTATAGTAGACTAACGCAAAACTAGCTAGGGATATGAATTTTACTTGTAGTTTAGTTTAAGTTATGGCTCGCCTGTTCATCTCGTGTGGCTTTCTAGCAGTGTTTATGCTAAATATCTTTTAAAATATTCATCTCGCCGATATGAGGCGGAAATCAGTAATGATTTTATGTGAGTATGCAATATTATTTAGCACTTCATAATGCATACAGAATGTAAATATGACCAATAAAGTTATGTCCATGCAATGACATTTTTGTGGTGTTCGTGACTCTTTTCCTTTCTTAAACACCTGCATTACTAGTGTGTTTTGGTAATGAAAATTGCCTATAACTGATTACATAAAACATTACATTTTTATGGAGAAAAAACACTGAATATGAAATATTAAGCAAATGTGTTTACATCCGCGATACACTCAAAATGGTGAATGGGGCGTGTTAAACAGTGCAGACACGTAACTGACAAAGACCGATGCAAGGTTTGCTACTGAAGGAAGGGATTCGCAAAAATTCACGGCTGGGTATTTAAAAAAACACAACTAGACAAGGTCATGCCACCATTATGTTCAGCCGAGGGACCAAATAGTAAAAGAGATGATTGACAAACATCATCTAGTGGTGTTGATCAAGGGAGAAAACAACGATGGTGAATGGTTGAAGAAATGATGATGCTTAAGTGACGAGATATTGTTACACGATAAGAAAATGTATAAAAATTAGTGTAAAACAGTATTGGACACACTCCTGCAGGGT